GATGATTTTTATTATGTCCTGATATGTAAAACCATAGAACTCAAAGAGGGTGTATTTTCTTTTTCACACGACTGTGATTTTAGGACGTGTGTGTAAAACAGATCATGCTTTAGGTCCTATTTATGCAGAAATATTGAAAATTCAAAAGGGTTCACAAACTTTTAAGCATTGCTGTATGTTTAGTTAGTCCTAATATATCTCCACCACCTAAAAAGTTCTATTTTCCCTCAGATGGCCATTATCTTGCTATCACTGTTTTTCTCTGTTTTTGGCTTCTAAAAGATTGCTTGCTGAAGTTCTTCATCTGGTCAGACTTCTGCTTCCAAATTCTTTTCTGGCAGAGTTTTTCAGACTGAAAGGCTTGCTTCTTTCTCACTATGAACTCTGCTGTCCTGAGTCATTAGATTTGTCTTCAGACTGATAGCCACTTCTCCTTCATGGTTTTCTTACTTTTACTCATCTTCTAGCCAGAATTTTAGATATGTTCCATTTAGTCCTCTGACTTCTATTAATTGTAAACACATAGATATTTCCAGTTGTACTGAAATATCTGGAGGCCAATAGAGACAAAGGAACTCCATCTATTACTTTTCTGGTTGATCAGTTTTGGAAAAGGGTCATGTCTTTTCTGTGGAAATTGTTTGGATTATCTATCCTTTTCCCCTTATAGCCATAGGGCTCCTATTTTAATGTGGTATGTCTCTCCCTGATAGTAATTTAGGAAGCTCACTTTATTTAGTGTGATGAAGTTTAATTCTGCTCATCCCTACCCCAGATAGTCCCAGACTTACAAAATTTTGTTTTGATAATATTTTGAAATTTCTGACATACCAAGAATTGAATACAAAATGCAGCATTTCTATTAACTCTACTGCAAAAATGAACAAACACCCTATATTTCTTTCTTGGTACCTTCATCTCTTTTCACCAGTCCTAGCCATGCAAACATATCCATAACTGCAGAAAAGTATATTCTTCATGAGTTTGGTTCTACTCTCTTATTTAAGCTCTGCTAAAAATTGAACCCAGTGGATAAATTGGAGGATTCCACACGCATCTTAATTTTTTCTCTACCAAATGTAAGTCATATCTGCACTCCAGAGCTCACATAAAACTGCATATTATATTAATTCTTGCAAGTTTAAAGTACATACTGCCACAACAGGCAGTTTGTTTCTTATTTAGTTATAGTTCACATATAAAATGGGTAAATCTTTGCATCTGATTTAAAATGTGACATAGCTCATAATGACCACTTACCTTTTGCAAGTTTTATATCCATTTTCTAATGAGTGATCAAAATAGTAGCCATTGTTACAAGCTACCACACATCTTCCATTCTCCATAAGATATTCTTCTGTACAATTTATGCAAGCATCTGCTCCTGGGCCTCAAAAGCCAACAGAACAAAGATGATAACATATTGCTGTATCCTCAATAAAGCATAGATAATGGATATTCATTATATATAATTCTGTAGAATGATTACTAATTTGGTGGGATGAAAAATGTCATTCTTCCATGTAAACAAGAATGCTAAGAAGGCATTCAAGAAAATCTCACTATGGTTTATGGGTACTGTTGAACACATTCTATCACACTGCTAGTTCCTCCTCACAGTTTTAATGATTTTGCTAGAACTACCACTGGCTTGTTTTATGCTTGTTTTTCTTACGAATGTTGATGGTAGTTGTAGTATCCCAGCAAAGACATGATTGGGAGTCATACAACTGAAGGTGTTCACACTAACTGTAATCAATGGGTGTTACCTGAGCATGGCCTGATGACACTCTGGGCTTCATATTTATGATAATACTGTGTTTTTTATATAAAGCTGTTTTAAAAAGATGGGGAGTCTTATGAGTGGATCCCCACTGCAAGGTAAGCAGATGGCATAGGAAATCCATATTTAGATCCCTGCCATCTCTTTACTTAGATTGCTTCCCACTGATGGGCTATTATTGGGCAGAGAAGGAATAAGACTCACCACAAACATTCTTTTTGAAAATTACAGACTTGTTTTATCATGCAGTGTCTGTAATCACATGTACTCTTCATAAAACATTATGAATTCTATTACATACAATAATGCAAATAAATTTTAAGAACTTTCAGGTGGTTTTTGAATCAATTATTTGATATGAAAAAGTCAGTTAATAAGGTGTGGAAATATTCAGTTTGGATGATACCTAATATTATATGAGCAAACTTCTACTCAAGCAATGTGACTTCCACCAATTTCTCCTGTCAACCAATAGTTACCAGAATGAACTTAGGAGTTACTTAGTACTTATTCTATTTTACTGCAAGGGAAATCAAATTATTTAGTTAAGGAAAAAAATATTAGAAGTACCTGCACAAGAGGCACAGGAATGATGGCATGGCTCACAGTCTCTGCCATTATAATATTTGCCTGCTTCACAGCGTATACCACATCTTGTTCCTTGTAAACTACATAAAAAACACAAGGAGATTTAGGTAATTTTAGCTATTACCTAAGAAGAGAAAATACATTTATAGATTATAGTGAGTACTTTTTCAAATGCCATTTATTAAAGACTCATTAATTAAGGTGTACTTATAGCTGATGTATTGAACCTCAGTCTGAAACATAGTATAATACCCAGCTGATATGTTTAGACACAAACAACAATTTTGTTGTTATTCCATGGGTTTCTTTGGACCCATGTTCCATTATATTTGCTAATTTAATATGGAAATTTTAACAAATCATTCCGCATCTGCTTAGGTTGTTTCAATATATCAATTTTCTTTTCCCCTAATTGATATATGTACTGTACATGAATACATATGTGCACTAAGGAACACAAATATATAATTAAAACATTACATCATAATGAGATAATTACATCACAGTTAGATCATTGTATCAATTTCATGTGTGTGTTTTCTTTATCAATACAAGCAAGTGTATAAGTGCCAAAAAAGTAAAGGGGGTGGAGGAGTAGCGTAATTCTTCAGATAGAGCTGAATGGCATGTGTCTTTTCTATTTTTTAAAATATTGTTTCAGTATTGCTTCTTGTACCTGACAGCTTATAACATCTACCAGTAGCTAATTCATTCAGGCTGCAGTTTCCATGAAAAAATGAGTACTGTTATAAATTGCAGATTCCATGGCCACAAATTCTCATTTTTAAAAATCTTTTCTATTTTGTCTCCAAACCCTTGATTTTGTATCATTTAACTTGATTATGAGTCTGAAGAACTCAAAAGCTTGTATTCTTTTGGGCCATTAGCTCCCAACAAATATATATCTATATATTTATATCTATATCTATATCTATAGATAGATAGATATAGATATATATTTTAACTGTGGGTTTAAATGAAGATATGGAAACAGTTACAAAAACAAATGATTATTCGATGGTTTTTTTCTGTATGATAACTCTTAAATATTAGACATATATCAGAATAAGAATACAGTGCTTCGGTTTTCATTTCCTATATATTAAGGATTTTTTATCCATGATTAGTCAGGATAATATATGTATTCACAAAAATATTAACACCCTTGAAAAATCTGTTCAGTTAAAAGCTAAATATAATATGCAATATTTTTTTCTTCTGGAATGTTAGAGACTTCTTTCGTTATCACACTAACTACAACCAATCAATTCCTTACCTTAGACCATGTCTGCATTCTGTGCATGTTTGAAATTCAGTGCATGACTTACAGTTTTCACTGCATTTACGGCAGACAATCTTATCTGGAAAGAAATGCAATTCAGAAAAAAATAAAATTAATTATATGCAAAATAACTTATGGATATATATGATAGATTAATACTTAAATAATATTCAATATTTAATTTAAATATTTATGTACCAATGTTTTTCCAAATTATTTGTAATTTGTAATTATCTACATATTTCCAAGATGTCATTACATCTGGAAAAATACTGTTCAATAAATCCTGCTTTGTTTCCATTACTTATAGCAACCTGGTTAGTAATGTCAAAAGATACACAGTCAGTTTTTTCTTTAATATAAGGTACAAATTACAAGACACATGTGCATATGCATATATTTATAATGAATATAGTCATATAATATTATATTATAACAATTATACAGCAGGGTAAATTATGCTTTATAGAATGAAGTACATGTAGACATTTTATGTACTACTGCCTACCAATTACTGTGTGGGAAATGAAAAGTGGATGAAAATATTTTTTTCCAAATTATTTATTCAGTGTTAATGTGCAACTTCTCCCAAAATGAGATTACTCCAATGTTGCAGGCATAATCAGTGCCCAGCTGGATTGGACCCTTAGACCATTTGATCCAGCAGTCTTTTCTTACAGTGGCCAACCGACTGCACAGTAGTCTTCCAGCAGATGGCCTTCAGAAGCAGTCACAATGCTATCAAGGCTAATAGCCATTGATACCCATAACTTTCATTAATTAGCCCAACTTTTTTTTTGCAGCTAGCTAAGCTTGTAGCCAGGACCACATCTCATGGTAGTGAAATCCAAAGTTGAATTACATGTTGTGTAAAAAAAAAAAATCCTTTTTTTGTCCTAATTCTTCTAGGATTCAATTTCATAGGGTGACCTTCATTTCTAGTATTTAGGGAAGGGGAAATTGCTTCTCCTTGCCCACTTTATCCACATCATGCATAATTCTATATACCTCAATCATGTTCCCTCTCATTTGCTTCCTTTCTAGTCTAAAAAGCCACACATATTGCAACCTTTTTTTCATGAGGAAGCTGCTGTAGCTACTTGATCATATTCGTTGCCCTCCTCTGAATCTTCTCTAGTTCCACTATATCTTTTCTTGAAGTGTAGCAACAGAACTTCAAACAATATTCTAGATGCAGTTGCATCATTGATTTATACAAGGGCATTTTGGTATTGCCGTCTCTACTTTCAAAATGATTTCTTATTATCCCTAACATGTTGTTGGCCTTTTTTTACAGCAGATGCACCCTGCTGACACCTTCACTGAACTGTTTAACCTTGCCATACCATACCAAAATGTACCATACCATATTATATCATACCATACCAAGACACCATACAGATGACTTGCCCTCATTTAGGAATATGACCACATGATATCAAAAACAGGAAACAAGTAATGAAAACAAAAAAACCCAAAGACATTCTGATTATTAAAGTTGATATAGTTGGGGTGATAAGGCCAGTGCAGACTGAATTATTTTGCATATAAAAAGAATTCTAAATTAGAATAATTTGGCCAGTTTCATTAAGTGTTTGATGAGTTATGGCAGAAAGTCAGGTGGTTGTTGATACATCAGTCAAAGTCTCCAAGATTTGCTTAAAAAATGTGATGTTATTTCCAGGATTAACCAGTCAGGCTAATCCTCAAATCAGGCAGAAATGTAAAGGCTTAGGGAAAAAAACAAGTTTCTTAAAAATACAACATAGTTGGATGACAGGTCTAAAGAAGGAGAACATTGTAGTGGTTATTTGAGTTAGCGTATGAGAGGTCATAGTTCCTAGAAGTATTGAAAGTCAGAGGAATAGGCTTTCTCTTCATTACCTCGCTTTCATTTCTGAATTTGGAATATACATTTTGGGGACAGGGTTGGCAATGTGGCAGCTCAAAAAGAACCGAATTTATTTACGAGACTAATTAAAATTAAAAAAGATTATGTTGCAGTGTGAAACAATGATTATGTCCATTCCTTCTCCTTGTCTCCACTTCACAAACTTGGCAATATTAGACTATTTAGAAATTATTTAATAGAAGCCCATGCTTCTTTTGTGTCGCTACAAGCAAAAGTATCTGTGTTGAAGTTATGAGATAACTTTCTCTGTTGTTTACCCATAAATATGAAATGACCGGCTATGGAGATCTTTCTCACCCCTGTTTGACATAGTATTTCAAAAAGTAAGGTCTTCTTTCTTTCATCAAGCTTCTTGACTAATAGTTTATCGGATTGTTTATATATCTGCTATCCAGTCACCAAGCAACAAGTGGATTTTTATTATGTTTTATTTGTTGGTTTTCTTTTAATTTTTTTTTTAATACATTTGAGTTACTTGGCATATACTTTTAAAAGTTCTGATGAAAGTTTCACAGTGTTCAAATTGGAAAGGAGTGGCAGTATATTGAATGTACAGAATGTAAGCATTTAATTGTCCAGTACTTTCCAATATTATAAAAGTGAATAATGTGAAAAATATCTTACTATTATCCAGGTAAAAGCCATCTGGGCAGGTGGTAACACAACTCCTAGACTCTTCATTGATAAAGTAACCAGGTTTACAAGTATTACATTGATCACTATGACTTCCAAAACATGTTTCACAGTTGGGCGAGCACTTTTTACAGCGTTTCTTGTCTGCGCTGTAGTGACCAGGTGGACAGTTGGGAACACAGATTCTTTATTGTAAAAAAAAAAAAAAGTAAAAGTAAAAGATAGAGAGAGCAGTGAGTTGGACAGACTTAATCAGATGATATTTGAATAACAAAAGCAGAACAGTGGTTTTCCAGATACTAGAGATACTAGAGCCAGATACGATATAAAACAAGCATTCTGTTTATGTCTAAACAAACAAACACACCTCAATCTACTTCCCAACTTAACTGGACATAACTGTAAATGTACAATATTTATGATGATCATGTTTGCAAAAAATAAATTGCTATTTAAATGAGCATAATTTAAGAAATGCCCCATTAAAACAAATTAAGATGCAACAGCAAATGCTGTAGCAAATGTATCACTGGTATTATTCTTTGGTACAAATCAATTCAACAAGCAATTCCTCTATGAAAATGTTTCAAGTGTGTATTTCTAACCTTGTTAAACTCTTCCCCATTCTGTATTCCAATGTTCAAGTCATTTTTTTTTAAAGTGGAATCAAGTGGAATTAAGATAAATATATTGTATAATATGTGTAGAGAAAATGTTGCAAAAAATGTAGTCAAAGACAGCAAGGCATGATTACAATCAAAGGAAAAAGAGAAAATGCAGAATAATTTTGATGGAAATAGAATGCTTTGCAAGTGGGTGAGCAGTGGTAAGCAAGGAGCCTCCAACTGAGCAAATAGATTTAAAAATAAGCGATGAAATGATTTGGCATGAAACTAAGAGAGGGAATGCTCGAAGGAACATTCTAGAGATTTGTATGGGAATGAAAGTGATATGTCAGAGTGGAAGTGAAACAAATGCTATAAATGTTACCGTCCAAGAAAAAAACAACAAAAATGAACTAATAAATGAATAAGAATGTCAAGAAATGATAAGGCTGCTGTGTAGATGGTGTAACTGTTAAAATATGAATGTGATTTTCTAATGGAATGACTACGCAATTTGTTTAAATTGGGGGTGAAGACTACATCTGTGTTTGACAATTGGAAAAATGTTGTCATGATTTCCCTGTACAAAGGGAAAGGCAGCAAAACTGAATGCAATATTTCTAGGGAATTCATTTGTTAAGTATGCCTATGAAGGTGTTTGGCAGAATTCTGGCTGAAAGGGTAGGAGAGGAGACAAAGAACAACATCTGGGAAATGCAGTGTGGCTTTGTGCCAGGCAGGGGATGTCCAGAAGAGAATTTTGTTCATGAGCAAGTAACAAAAATGTATGATTATGAGAAATGTTACGTGCTTTTGGTTTAGAAAAAGCATATGATAAAATTTATAGGTTTGAATTATGGGATATTTTGTGTGAATATGGTGTTGAAACTTGGTTGCTGAATTGGTAAATCATCCGTGAGAATAAACAGAATGTTTAGTAAATGATTCAACATTGAATATGGAATAAGACAAAAGATGTGATGTCTCCTTGAATTATCTAACATATTTATGAATAAGGAATATGTGTGGTGATCTTAAAGGCATGTTGATTGGCATGTGAATGTATGTGCTCTTTTATATGTAGATGATGCTATGTTGCTGTTGAGAATTGAATGTTTGTAGTAAACTTAGATAGACCGGATGATGCATGAGAAATATGGCTGTAAAAATTAATGACCAACTAAAAACCAATGTTGATAGAGAAAATGGAGCAAACAATCACAAGTTATACCTAAAAAGCAAACAATTAGAGCAAGTAGATGAATTTGTGTATGTGGTAAATGTTTTACTATAGATGAGAAAATGGATGGAGAAATTTTAAGATATGCAAATACTGGTAGAAAAAGATATTAGTATGTGAGATGATACAAATAATGAATGCTTGTTGAAAGAAGCAAAAATGGCTGTATATTAGATTGTCTTTCTGCCCACTTTGTTACAGTATATGGAAATGACAATTGGGTGTGTCAGGAAAAGTAAGTTGAATACAATAGGAATGGGATACTTAAGTGTATGGTAAAACAGGAACAGTTAGGGACAGACTGAATGTGGATTAAGTGCAAAAGTGAGTGTCTGGCATGAAAGTGGTTTGATTATACAGAGAGAAGACATGAGAATCAAATTACGGAACAAATATATGAAGGAAGAGTTAATGGATTTAGAGGAATGAAAAACCAAGAAAATTGTTGGATGAAGTTAATGAGATACTGAAAAAGAGAGAGATGAGAAATTTAAACAAAGGAAATGCATAGACATAAAAAAACAGAAGATTTGTAAAGCCAGAGGGGTATGTAGATATACAGTGAATGCTGTCTTATCTCATGCTTTTAATTTCTTTGGCTTGCTATTTCTTACTTCCTTTGTGTGCTCCGCATAATATTGCTTATCTGAAATGGGAATAGCATGAAGGACATGAATGTACATACATGTGTAGAGACGTATAGCATTAAGATTGTAATACATGCATTTTCATGTAACTGAAAGAGATGTTAATGTGGTATTTAGACAGGCTTTCAAAATTCTGTTATTATTCCCTGCAACAATAAAGCAGCATTCCTAGAATCCTTGCATTGTTTCTTTTTTCTGACCCAGCCTACCTCAAAAGGTGACATCACTCTTGAAAGTGTCTCCAAGTTTATTTATTTATTTATTAAACCAATTTACATAGCCTCCCATCTCACCACAGGCAACTCTATATTTCTCTTTGTCCTATTTTATGTTAAACAAAATCAAGGTGCAGTTATTTTGAGTTTCTTTCTCATGATTTCTTCAATGTCTGGATTATGTAATCTCTTGTCAAGTCCTTCCCTTAAAGCTCTTTCACATTATCCCCAAGGTCAGCTCTAAATTTCTGTACAATAACATACATTTAACCCCTCTACAGGCTCTCCTCATTGACCATCCACAGTTATGACGGTAATGGAAAAGTAACTTTGTGACCAATCCTCACATTTATGACCTTCTTGGTCTGTAAAGCAAAGAAAAGCTGAAGTAAGATTGTAACTACAGTTGCAGTTTCACTAGTGACTGCTTCACTGAATTGCCAGTCCCAATTGTGGTTGCTAAATGAGGACTACCTGAAGTCAGCTGACAGTATAACATTGTACAATATGCTAAATGGGGTAATACCAAAAATGAAGCTATCTTGGTACTATCTAATAAGTTTTCTAAATAGGAATTCTGTCTAGTTTCAAACTGATTTATCAAGTATAATAACTATTTCATACCGTGTGTTATTTTTAGATTTATAGTAATAGTGTAGACAGTCATTGCAATGGTCTGGTCCTGGTCCACCGCATCCAACTTTGCTGCACTCTGCATTGCATGGACCTTTAAAAAAAGACAAACAGTCCTTGTATTTTTATTAATTGCCTTATAGAAATTACTTCAGGTCCATGTTGTAACAGATTACTTGGGTTCAATCACCCAACTAATTTGGACGTTTAAAAAATCAAGACTGAAAATATTGAATATTTAGTTTCCAGAGACTGCTTTTCTGGCTTGGTACAGGAAATTGATAAACAGCAGGAAAAAAAGCTTGCTATTAATGGGTATGTTATCCTAAATATAATAATTAATGTTACCTGAATAGTCATCCACCCCATAATCTTCTGTAGGGTCTTCAATTGGACTCAAGCGTGTTCGTTCGCCTTTTAGAAAATCACTTCTTGGGGAGTAAGGCTGAATGGATGTCCCATAAAGTACTAAAGACCATTCTTTCAATTTACCTAGATGAATCGTATTGGAAGACATAAGATTTCATGAGGAAATGTATTCTCTTCAATGTTTATTGTAGCATATTTCAAAAACTTTCATCTTTACCTTTTGCTGTTGAAACTATCTGGCTCAGGACATGAGGGATGAACTACCCAATGAAGAAGAGAAGAAACACTGTACTCACTGTTGCAATTGGGGGCGCTCTTCCTCCCTCTTCATAGAACCTATTGAGATGAACTGCCCTGTGAGGAAGTGCAGCAGGATCAACTGTTCTGGAAGTGGTAGTATCATCTGGGTCTCCCTATGAAGACTACTTTCCCTACAGCTGAGTTTGTTATTTGTCTCTTCCCTCTCATTCATCTTTTCTTTCTGTGTTGTGTCTTTTTAGATGTTAAGCCTAAAAACATCATTATTCTGCAAGTGACATAGAGTGGTTTATACTGGTGTAAATATAGTGAAAGCAAGGGAAGTAGTTACTATGGGGCCTATAGGCAGGGGTAGGTTAGATTCTCATTACCACCCCTCCTTGTTCCACATCTTTAACAAATAACCTGATTGCACAGGTTAGAGTGGTGTTTCTCAACCTTGGCAGCTTTAAGATGGGTGGACTTCAACTGGCTGGGGAATTCTGGGAGTTGAAGTCTGCCTGCCTTAAAGTTGCCAGGGTTGAGAAACATTGGGTTAGAGAGTCTGAGTTTGCTCATCACTGGGGGCCAGTTCTGCCTTGAGTCTCAGAGTATAAAAGGTATAAATATTAAACTTAAACATTCAAATATATGCTTATAAACTTATTAATAGAAATCAACATGTCTTCTCTTCCCGCATCTGTACAAACTATCACATATGAATTTGTAATTTCCGTATTACGAGAAAGACAGGGAGATGACTTATGAAACACTGTAATAAATAAAACATTTTTTAAATATTACATTTATTCAAATAACTGATTTTAAAATTATTTTTATTATTTATATATGGAACTCGAAATATGGGCGTATAAAAGATCAAGATTCCCTTGAGTTGATACCAACTTCTGGTGACTATATAGACACATCCACATAATTTTCTTGACAATAGTATGGAAGTGGTTTGTCACTGAAAAACACATTCTGAGGTTTTATTTTTTGTTTTTGCCTACTCAGTCTAGTCTTCTGCCCTAGTCTTCCTGGCAGTCTCCTATCTAAGTGCTCACCAGGTCCAATCTGCCTAGCGTTTTCAAGATAAGCTAGTTGTCTAGGCCTACTATGACATATGAGCATATACAACACATTTAAATTATATTGCTGTTTATGCTCAGAGTCTTTCTAACTCCACAAATTGTTATTAAATAGAATTTCCAAGCAGGGTTTTCCCTATAATAGGTTTAGTGTAAATGAATGAGAGATGATAAACCATGAGAAAATTGCAGTAAAGGTTGTGTTCACTCATACAACTATGTCACTGCATTGTCATGTGGGAATTCACATGAGTGCAACACTTTATTCCATAGATAGAGTTTCATATTTCCTCAGTTATCGTGCTGTCCAAAGCAAACAACACATTCATCTGCAAATGATCAGATGCTGAATAAACAGCAAAATACCAGGTCAAATGATGAATGTACATGTGCGAATTGGATCCCAACCATTTAAAGAAAGTACATAACTGAGAGGTTTGCAGCAAAAATGACAAGTGAGATGATTCAGAGGGGAAAATTATTGGCTACTCTGTGATTTTGGGGATGGGAAGAGGAATTTCTATCCATATTTTAAGCACCAGGCATACCTGTGCAGCCAATCAATATTATAATCAGTAGCACAATGCCAGTGAATAATTGATAACCAAACACTCACTACTGCTAATATCAGCAACCTACTTCTGCACAAGATAACTATCCATATGAGAGTACAACCCTGTCAGTCCTTTGCGGTAGTCCAGACAAGAAGCATAAACCATGACTACTAACACTATCTTTATCGTAAGGTTACAGTAACAGAATCTTACAAGTTTGAAAGTCCTTCTCCCCTCCTTTACTTTTACTTTCCAGAAAATTAGGGAGGGTCACTTCTGATATACTTCCCACGCCCCTTTTCCTTCTGTGGGCTGAGATAACTTTTGCATGACAGTTGTCTAGTCTGCATGTCTCCCAAGGTCATTCCCACAAATCCTGAGTGCAGAACCTTTTGTTCTACCAGTCTCTCTAATTTAAAAAATACTAGTGGGAAATAAAATGGATCTACTGCAGTTTCAGAAGGAACTTGGGGTTATTCTTGAAACTTTAGTGCACAGTCCAGCTGAAGCCTTAGTTGCAGTGACAATGGCTTTGGATTAGAGGGCCAGAGATGGGGATGGTGTGTCCATCCTAGATTCCTGGATCACTCAGCAATTTCCAGTACCATTGATCATTGTATCCTTCTGGATTGACTTAGTGAGTTAGAAGTGAGGGGCATTGTTTTGTCATGGTCCTCCTCTTTCCCCAAGGTCAGTTCCAGTTGATGTTGGGAGGAGATCTAGTCCTAGACTCCTTCTATATACTGTGCTTCAGCTCTTACTCCACTCCTATTTAACAACTACCTGAAACCACTGGGTGAGGCTATTAGTTAGCCAAAGTTTTTAAATGTATTTTTTCGTGGCTTGTGAGCTGCTCATCTATTTAAGATGTGAAGCCATATAAATGTTCTAAATAAAAAAATAAATCTTGCTCCATATGATTGCATGCTAGCCTGTATTACAAACAATTGACTGGATGATGCTGACTTATACATAAGACCATTAAGAGAATTCCCACATTCTCACTGTTTTCACTCTCTAATCCTCAGAAACCATTTGAACTCTTCACTTTTGCTAATCTGAAACACTGAGATCAAGAAGTGAAAATTATAACCCAACCGAAGCTCATTTAAGGTCCTGCAGCAACAGAAAATTGTATTCCCTATGCCACACAAAGGGAAGAGAGAGAAAAGCAAAACTCCAGGCTTTTCTTATTATCCTCCTCTGATGCTGAAGAGAAGACAGAGGCTGACAAAAAATCTTGCCAATATTCCCCTGCTCATTTTCTTTGAGCTACTGAGGGAGAGTTTCAAAACCTTAAAGTTGCATTTGCTTTAACCTGAATCTCAGGTTCTAGAAGATGGGGCAAGGTAAGATTTCTCTCCTGCCTTCACAGCATTTTCAACTATATTACAAAAACACATCAACTCAGCTATCTAACATTGCTACATCATGGAAACACAGAAATCTGAAGCTGCTTTATAGGTGACTCAAAATCCTCTTGTTGAAGTGCTGTTAGTTAAATATCTGTGGTAGACAACATTTTAAAAAAGCATTTTTATGGTGTGAAAATTGGGGGTTAAAAAACCCCTCACCCAGAGCCTGAGTTATGACCCAATCTTCCAAGCAGATGTCATGGCTGAGTTTGTAAAGGTCATTTGACCCCTAGCTACTGATGCTAGGAGATTTTGATATATACCAGAAGACTTTGCATTCTTTCAGTCTAAACAATATTGTACAGTATCTTTATAACTCAGCTCAACAACTAAACTACACTACATTACATTAAATATATAAAATATAAAGTACATAACTGGCAGAATAATGTGTTCATACCTGGAGTCTTTACATTTCTTAGTTGAGAGGGAGTATCATAAATTTCTAAAATCCAGTCACCAGCTGCTTTTTCACCCCAGCAGTGAGTAGTCATAAACTCCCAGTTTTTAAAACCTTCCATGGAATGGTCAAATAACCTTTTAAAGAAAACCATAATAATATATGTATAAATATGGAATTAAGAAAAATACCGTTATGTTATTTAAGCAATCGATTACAATGCATATGACTTTGTATCAGACTCTTGGCTCCTGATCCATAAGGATTCTGGAGGAAATGCTGTATTTTGGAACTACTAGCTATGACTATACTTTTATGAGGTTGCATATAAATGCCTACATTGCACCAATACTTAACCTTGATTCTGTTATTAAATTTTCTAACAATCATAAAGCACATACAAACATTTTAAAAGGTTTAGAAGTTGTGAACTATAAGTGACAGTATTCACATGGTCTCACCTGTTAGACATGATTTTATTTGAATATACCTAAGTTACTTGTGTCATAATTGTGACATGAGAAAATGAACTTTAACCCTCAGCTATCATTGCCAAATTATCAATCAGAATCATCTCCCTTCCCCCATGTCTAATAACTGCAGTAAATAAGGGTCAGATGTAACACTCTTGGTTTATGTGTTTCAGTTTCCTCTGAATTAACAATTCAATATACAAGTGATCAGGGAGACAGTTTTCAGAGCTTTGAGTTAAATATTTTTTGTACAGTCATTCTTCATAGGAGTTCTGGTGAACATGAAAATGAAAGTCAAATAGTCACAGTAGACAAGCTTCTAGAGCAGACACAAATTATGAGGAATTTTTCGATAATTCTTACGTTAAGGTGATATTCCATAAGAAATTGTGCTTATTGGTCTATTATCTTTGGATCATGCCTCTAGAATATTAGACTGAACAGATAGCAGTGTGCAGTTTATTTTGTCTGATATCTTAAGCTTAAGTCAGGTCATGCCTTATTAGTATTTAGAGGGATAGGCTCTTGGGAATTTCAGGCTTACTGGTGAGACTGGGAAATTGAAAGACATCCTGGAGAAAAGCAATGATAAATCACTTCCATAACTGGTGTCATCATGGCAGAACCTCCCTTCTTTTATAATAGCATCACAGTGTTGCACAGCATTTACTATAATCATTGCTTTTACAAATTATATGAAAGGACCAGCAAGTGACAACCAATTAATCAAATACCTACAAAGTACACTATTTTTTTATTTTTATAAAACAAGAAATCAACATTATCCACTGATCTAACACTTTACTTCTAGCAAACAGTTGCTTGTAAATGCTATAGGAAAATTGTACAGGTGTGAAATATATTTTTGCAGGTTGCTTAGCTCCCTAAATAAATTCTTCAGATTAAACCCACAACATTAATTATGAAGCAACGTGATTTCAGGGAAAGTAAATTTTATGATGTACATCAAAGGTCCACTCTATCTGAGAACAGTGTGTCCATCAGATAGAACAACACAATGCTACCATTCTAGTGTTCTAACCACAACAGGCCCCACCCCCATGATATGCTATTATACCATCTTAAAGCTGTTAGCATTTATTTTTAAAGGGATCCATATTTTCATGAATTACTTATCTAACTATGATTAAAGTATTTTATGTGAAATTCATCTTAGCATAACACCTCAACACCTCCAAAAGTAGACAACCCTATTTTTTATTAGTTTATACAAAATCACCTATGTACATTTAGATTGCAGTCCAAGAATGAGATTTATTCCAAATTAAATACAATATATTATATTGTTTATACCTTACTACTATACAAAATCTATATTAAAAATATGTAGACTAGAAGTCCACTTTTTCAACATTAGATAGGGAATCTTAAGCTAACCCAAACCTGTCAATTATGCTTGAGTAATATGGAGCACAATTTAGTCAAATTTGAATATTTCTAATGTTGATTTAGAAATAATGAACTACATTTTATTCATTTGGATGTTAAATTTACTTAGTTAGGCAGGATTATACTAACTGAATTTATGGAATTTGAATTTTATGTAGCTTTCTATTCTCTCTTTTGTGAAAAAGACTGACTAGGAAAGAAGCAAAAGAACTGCAAGATAAATTTTGCAGTGTGGCAGGTTAAGTCAAACCATAACTATGTTTAAAAAACCCCCAACATTTGATATTCTGCTGATAATGAAGTGACATTAGCTTTAGAAAGAGATATGTTGACAAAGCATTCAGTCCCAAATCTGGGACAGTCCAAAGTACCCTCAAAGCTGTTTGGAGGCTCTCTAGAATAGCATATTCCATAGAGGGATTCAGGAAGAGGAAAGAACCAATAAAAAAGAAAAGAAAAAGAAGGGAGAGCCACTTTGCTAAATTGGGAGTATCTTCAACTTGCATAATAGCATGGTTTAATTCTAAAGGCCATTTAAATATAGGGATAGATAAGAGAAAGCTTTCTATAGCTGTCCAACAACAACCAAAAATCTTATCATAATTCTTGAATCTGATAGCAGATGTCAGATTATACACATAAGGCTATATTCCGGCTACATTTGCAAGAGATAAGGTTTACAGAGATCAGCTAGTATGACTATCTTCATTAAGGATGCTCTTTCTCTGTCCTGTTATGGCCAGAATATACTCCAGAATGAAATATCCCTTTGTGGGCATCAGGACAAAGATTCAGGGCAAAAAGTATCAAAAATGGTATTCAGAGTCATGTCAGGATCAAGTCTGTACTATTGTCAGACAAGCCACCATTTTTTTTTTCAGGAAGAACAGTTACAAGAATCATTAAGAGTTATTTGTTCTGTTTTCCTGAAGTACTGTTCTTATTCTACTCCCCCGTAATTTGCAATTATTACTCCCAGTATCTGACAAAATCTATTGCAAAAGATTACACATTTATTCTTGCCTCTGCTAATGCTCATAATGACAAAATTTTAGATTTCCACTTTATGTGTTCAGTTTCCTCAGAGTAGTTCCTCAATTTATCTTTTTTTTCAAGTGCATACAGTTTGGAAAATGAAACCTTCCATCAAACTGAAAGTTAAGTACCTGTTAGCCAATAGCTGAGATCTTGTTCCAGAAGGAGAAGTCAAGTAAATTGCCAGATCACCTCTCCGAGGATGCGTAATAGTGATTCGTACTACCACGTGTTCCAGATATATTACATGGTGATTTGCATTATCTATACATCCTGTGGCTTTGTATATTGAACGAACACCATTATCTGGTCCATTACGAATATTATCTGGTCGTATTGTTCTGTTTGAAAAATACAAACCAAATTAAATCTCCAGTGAATATGATAAATTTATATATCTCAAACATCCCTGAAACATCTTTCTCTCTCTCTCTCTCTCTCTGTTTGTGCATGCTGGGAGAACCATTTGGAAAGATCCTTGGTGAATCTACTGAAGGAAGTCTGAATCTGTTCCTTGAAGTGTTGATTGTCATCCTCCTGAAAGCTTGGCTGAGGTGATTCAATGGCTTTCCCCACATCGTCTGAGTATGCATGTACAAACACAGAAGACAATTCTGCTAGAATTACCACTAAAATGAAGGTGCTCACTACTTCATGATGTTTCCTAATCATTACCCCTTCCCTTTACATAAAATCTCTTCAGTCTATTTGCCTGAAATTTGACATGGGCATATATCACTACAGAAATTTTCTTTGCAAATTTCGCCACATCCTGCCTGTGGGTACTTAACTATAAAAAAGTTAAAATTGTTTATATAAAAAAGTTATATGTGAGAACCTAATACCCCTAGTTTTGACTTATGTGAAAATTCTGTGAATGGATTAGTGAATAGCAGCTATCTCATTAATAAGCCTCTATATGCAAAAAGTATACTCTGTCAAGGAGCAGACTTTTTTTGAGAAGCACATTGCAGTTATTTGCCATCACCTGATCTGAAATGTACAACTGAATCAGGTGTACATGCATAAACTTTTGGAAACAATACAAAAGGAAGGGTCCCTGATCATTCACTCAGAGCCTATGTGGGCTGAGAGTTCAGAATCTGGATTATGGGTCAAAACCAAGAAAGTTACCTGAAACAGAATTGTATTAATTGCTATCAGAAGCATATTAGATTGATGACCGGCCTGGTACTGGTCCAATCCCATTCATAGTTACTTTCTTTCAAACTGAAGTTTAACAAGGAGGTGGTACAATTTCTGTTTCCAGAAGGCTGTAGCCAGTGGCGTGCTGGTAAATGTTTAAAAAACGGCTCTGCTGGCTCTATTGTCACCATCACACCACACCATTAGCTGCCAAACAGCTGATCAGTGTGCTAGCTGGTTCGCAAAATTCCAGAAAATTTATCAGTCGGTTCTCATGAGCTGGTATGAGCTATATCTGATTTGTAGTACACATTGTTCACCTGTGTTATTGAGCATAATATGCATTAGGTTTTTTTTTTCAAAAAAAGGACAAGGAAGAAGTTCCTGCTTAACACTAGCTTATGAAAACATTCATGGAAAAAATGGTAGCCACCATTGACAGTCTTGGTAAATGTATTGGTCAATAATAAATATTACTTGATTTGTCGATCTGTGTTCTCAACACAGACATGTTGTGGAGGGACTGTTGTCCACTTTTCTGCTTCTATCACCATGGCTTCAGCATCCATCAGTCCAAATCCATATAAGTGGCTAACTGCAAAACATAAAGTAATATTATTACATTCACAAAGTAGTTATTTTTACTTTCATACAACACAGTCACTATAGATATTCTGTTTAATTCCTTTTCCTCAAAGATATATTGTTCCATAGTATCAGGTGTATCCTACCTTCCTAAAACTGCCAGTTAGAGCCACAATAATTGGTCTGATAGTGTTAAAATAGAATGCGGTTTTGATGCCTGCATATACTGTATGTTCAGTTATTTCCATATGATTTTGCATTCAGGACAAAGACAGTGAAAACATCAGTAACAACTTAGTGGAGTATGGAGACAGCTGTAGGAAATGAGATAAATGAAGAAAGAAAAAAGGGCAATAATTGCCAGAAGCAAGGCATACATTTTTTTTTAGATTTTTAAAAGATTTATTATTTTTTCTATAAATAACTCAAGGCAGTGAACATACCTAATACTCCTTCCTCCTCCTATTTTCCCCACA